TGGGGGGGGTTTGGGGGGATTTTTGGGGTTTTAGGGGGATTTTTTTGATTTTGGAGGGATTTAAGGGGGATTTTTGGGGGGGGGATTTTGGGGAATTTTGGGGGGATTTTTGGGGAGGAATTTCGAGGGAATTTGGGGGGTTTGGGGGCATTTGGGACACAGAGGGGGAGGTGACAAGTGTCCCTGAGTGTCCCCAAGTGTCACCTGGGGGGTGGTGGCACCTCCAGGGGGGGTTTTGGGAGTGAATTTGGGGGATTTTGGGGGGATTTTTGAAGGAATTTTGAGGGGATTTCGAGGGATTTTGGGGTTTGGGGACATTGGGGACACGATGCCACCGGTGCCACCGTTGTCCCCCGGTGTCCCCCAGGTGCTGGCCTGGTTCGAGGAGGGCGAGGAGACCATCACGGCCTTCGTGGAGCCCTTCGTCATCCTCCTCATCCTCATCGCCAACGCCGTCGTCGGGGTCTGGCAGGTCGGGGACTTTTGGGGTATTTGGGGACACTTGGGGACATTTGTCCCCCTGATGCTCCTCAGTGTCCCTGTGGTGTCTCCTGATGTCCCTCAATGTCCCCTTAATGTCCCTTTGATGTCTCCAACTGTCCCCAAAATCCCCCCAAACCCCGTGAAAACCCCCCAGGTCCCTGTGTCCCCCCTGGCCCTGTCCCCTGCTGTCCCCCAATATCCTTCCATGTCCCTGTGATGTCCCCTGATGTCCCTTAATGACCCCTTGATGTCCCTCAATGTCCCCTTAATGTCCCCTCAATGTCCCTTTGATGTCTCTTTGATGTCCCCAACTGTCCCCAAAACGCCCCCAAACCCCGGGAAAATCCCTCAGGGTCCCTGTGTCCCCCCCTGGCCCTGTCCCCTGCTGTCCCCCAATGTCCTTCCCTGTCCCTGTGGTGTCACCTGATGTCCCTTAACGACTCCTCAATGTCCCTTTGAGTCCCCAACTGTCCCAAAAACGCCCCCAAACGCCCCCAAACCCCGGGAAAACCCCCCCCCGGCTGCCATTCCATGGGGTCCCTCCCCCCTTTGTCCATGTCCCTGCTGTCCCCTGCTGTCCCTCTGATGTCCCCAATGTCCCCTCAATGTCCCTCAGTGTCCCTTTGATGTCCCTCAATGTCCCCTTAATGTCCCCTCAATGTCCCTTAGTGACTCCTTGATGTTCCTCAATGTCCCTCAAAGTCCCCCTGATGTCCCTGTGGTGTCTCCTGATGTCCTTCGGTGTCCCCAAATGGTCTCTGTGGTGTCGCCTGATGTCCCTTAATGTCCCCTCGATGTCCCTTTGATGTCCCTCAACATCCACCCCCAAAATGACCCCAAAACGCCCCCAAACCCCGGGAAAACCCCTCAGGGTCCCTGTGTCCCCCCCCGGCCCTGTCCACACTGTCCCCCAGTGTCCCCTGAGCTGTCTCCCCGTCCCCTGCTGTCCCCTGAGGTCCCCCCTGCTGTCCCCGTGTGTCCCCCCAGGAGCGGAACGCGGAGAACGCCATCGAGGCGCTGAAGGAGTACGAGCCCGAGATGGGGAAGGTTTACAGGGCCGACAGAAAGGCCGTGCAGAGGATCAAGGCCCGGGACCTCGTCCCCGGGGACATCGCAGAGGTGGCAGGTGGGGACATTGGGGTCACCCAGGGGTCACAGGGACACCCAGGGGTCACCCAGGGGTCACAGGGGTCACAGGGGTCACAGGGACACCCCAGGCCATGCAGAGGATCAAGGCACGAGATCTGGTGCCAGGGGACATCACCGAGGTGGCAGGTGGGGACAATGGGGACATTTGGGGACATTGGGGACACCCAGGGGTCACACAGGGACACCCAGGGGTCACAGGGACACCCAGGGGTCACAGGGGTCACAGGGACACCCAAGGCCGTGCAGAGGATCAAGGCACGAGATCTGGTGCCAGGGGACATCGCAGAGGTGGCAGGTGGGGACATTGGGGTCACACAGGGGTCACAGGGACACCCAGACCCCAAACCAGTAACTCCCAGTAGCTCCCAGTGACCCCCAGAGCCCTTTCCAGTAACTCCCAGTAACCCACAGAGCCCTTTCCAGTAGCTCTCAGTAACTCCCAGTAACTCCCAGTAACCCCCAGAGCCTTTTCCAGTAGCTCCCAGTAACTCCCAGTAGCTCCCAGTGACCCCCAGGAGCCTCTTTACCCCCTCCCAGTAACTCCCAGTAACTCCCAGTAACCCCAGAGCCCTTTCCAATAGCTCCCAGTAGCTCCCAGTGACCCCCAGGAGCCCCTTTGTCCCCTCCCAGTAACTCCCAGTAGCTCCCAGTGA